TGACCCAAAACGGCAGAGCAAATCCACAACAGAATGGCTTTTGGAGTGGCCAAGTCAGAGCCCAGACCTCAACCCAACAGAGATGCAATGGAATGACTTGAAAAGAGCCATACACATGAGACGTTCAAAGAATATGAAAGAGCTAAAGCAGTTCTGCCTGGAAGAATGGGCTAAAATCCCTCCTGAACAATGTGCAGGTCTGTTCCACAGCTACAGGAAGCGCCTGGTTGAGGTTATTGCTGCCAAGGGGGGGGGGGGTGGTCAACAGGTTTTTGTTCCCAAGGGTCCACTTATTTTTTCCACTAGCATTTTGAATGTTGAATGAGTGTGTTCAATAAAGACATGAAAGATCAGAATTATTTTTGTGTTATTATTTTAGGCACATTATATTTGTCAATACTCTTAGATGACGGTCAGATCACATTTTATGACAAATTAATGCAGAACACCATGAAATTCCAACAGGTTCACACACTTTTTCTTGCAACTGTATATTTTTCACTGTGACAAGTGCTACAACAACCTTTGAACAACAGTTTGGGGGTGCACTGCAAAAGGTCATGGTTAAACCTACAATTGAGACAAATCTGCTTCCTCCATTCACACCCAGCTCTGAAAGCACATTACTCTCCTATCTAAAACACAAAGGATACAAAATATTTCTTTTCTTACTTCTGTGGTTCTGAGTTAGTTTTCAGACTAACTCTGGACACAGACTTTCATTCTTATCTTTAAAGAGACTATTATTATTATTGATCACAGTCAGCCAGAAGTTTAGACTGGATTTGGCATTTTTATCCACCTATTGAGTCCTTCCTAAGGATCTGGGATAGGTAGATGTTGTTGTTTGCTTGTGTTGTGTTAAAGGTATCGTGCAGGATATAAGCTGTTCCAAGTAAAGCTGCCTTTTGCAATTGACTGATGACGATTTTGTCAATGCCTATGGTCTTCAAGTAGTGCTCCAGATGTTTTGGGATTGCACCTATGGCGCCTATCACTATTGGTACTATCTTTGCTTTCTTTTGCCCTTGTCATTCTACTTCTATTTCCAGGTCTTTATATTTTGTGATTTTCTCCAGTTCTTTCTTTTCTATTCTGGTGTCTCTAGGTATTGCAATATCCACTATCCAGACTTTTTTGTCTTTCTTACCAACAATTGTTAAGCCTCAGGTGTTGTGTGGCAGGTGCTTGTCCGTTTGAATTCTAAAGTCCCAGAGCACTTTAGCTTCTTAACTTTCTATTACTTTGTTTTGTGGTCCCACCAGTTCTTGCTTGCAGGCAGATGGTATTTCTTGCAGATATTTCAATGCACCATTGTTGCTAATTTGTCTTGTTGTTATCTGCTTTGCCTGCTAGTTTTTTTGTGTACTGGCCATTTAATCTTTGCCTTGCCATGTCTCTTTTCTATTCATCATTTGGTCTTTCTGATTTGGCCAGTCTGATCTCTTCAGTATTCAGTAAGCTTCATGGTGTACTAGCTTCAGTGCAACGTCTGCACTGTCCTTCAAATATTCTTCCAATGCCTTTTTTTCTTCTTCAGCTGTCTGGTGTATTTGTAACATTCCACACCCACCTATGCTCCTTGGTAAGTAGAGTCTGTCCATGTTGCTGTGTGGATGAAGGGCACGATTTATTCTCATTATTTTTCTAGTATTATTATCTCTTCATGAAAATGTGTGAGGTCATTTAATGATGCCTTCTGCTTGAAAAATGATCTATGTAAGAAGCTAAGAGGGTTTTTGAAAACAAAATGAATACTTGAAATATAAAACAAGGTTTTTAACCACAGATCCAACCAAACTCTTCACATGCATTTAGGAAGACAAGGCATTGTGTTAAAAGCAGAACAAATTCTAGGAGGAAATTAATTTTCTTGTTTCTGTCAGTCTTGGCTTCAGGGAGGAATTTCTCCAACATCTCCCAATTCTAGAAGGCCAAATATTATGTAC